CTGGAACTGAAAATATGGATGGAGGACAATAGAGCTGCTTCATGGAAGAAGAATCCCGAATTAGCTTGGTGCTAGCGTGAAAGCTAACAAGCTAAACTGAGGTCCTCCATCCATATTTTCAGTTGCAGCTGAGTCATTTTTGTGTTCCCCTCTCTGTCATGTGGATGGAGGACCTCAGTGAGAGGAGAATGTGTAGCGCTGAGCYAATACATACAGTAAATATGGTGATAGCTTTGGCACTAACGTTAAAGCTAACAGGCTAAGCTGAGGTTCTTCTTCCATAAAGCAGCTTCTAGGAGCAGATCATTTTCCGTGACATGCAGTGACTCACCCACGAGTATGTCCCCCCAAAAATAATCTGTTTCCCCACCAGAGGATATCCAGCAAAGCCTGAAAAATACTGAAATCTGTATGAAATTAGAGGTTTTTTATGCTTTTTAAGCTTAAAAATGTGGGGGTTGCATTATACAAAACATGGTAATCCTTCAGTTCCACTTCACTCACCAGATGAGCATTGCTGGTTCTTACCAGGTCCTGTTCTCCATGTGATTTTCTCTTGCCTCCTTGTGTTGCGTCTTGATTGTGTAAGTTTTGCTTTCACGTCAGCTTCTTGATTTGCTTCAAAACTAAAATGTTTTCCCAAGTTCCTTAAGCCAAACTTACTTGGAAGCCGTGACAGAGATATGGCCTTTTATTTTGTTTTATTTTGTGTTGCATTGATGGTGTTTTTCCAGATGTGTAAGATGTCCATGGCAGAGGCACTAATGCACCCCTATATTATTAGAGAGGCAGCCTGAGCAGTGTGTCGATGATCTCTCCTCTTTAGTGCAAAGATTCAGGGTCTTCTAAAAAAAAAAGTTGTTATTTTTTTATTATTATTATTTTTGTTGAGGACCATTTTTCTGAATTATTCCAGTCTTTTTATTTGTTACAGACTGGTGAACCTCTGCCTATCTTCAATCATCTTTAAAAAATATTTTYATACCCAGTCCTCTTACTCACCTGTTGCCGTTTAACTTAATTAGCTGCAAAATGTTCCTCAAGCTATTTTTCTTATAATTTGAAACATTTTTACAGCCAATTGTTTACCCTGTTGCCATCAAGTTCAAAACCTTTTTTCCCTATAAAACTTGTCCATGTTCTCAGTTTAAACATTTGCTATGTTTGCTGTGCTCCATGAATAAAATGTGAGGTTTATGGGATTTGCAAATAATTGCATTCTGATTTTATTTACATTTCACACAGCRTCCCAACTTTCTTTGAATTGGAGATTTTAACTGCAGTGCATTGAGGTAAAAAAATCTTTATGTCTTGGTAAAACACAAAGATCAAAGCAGCACCTCTCTTGGATCTAAAAAGGAAAGAATTTCTTTCAAACTCCTGAACAGCACTTTCATTGTTTACCCCGAGCAAAATGTTGGCACGTCGAATTAATATTCATAGCTCCTGGCCTTTGCCTTCACACCACTGCCAAAGAAAACAAAAACCGCTTTTGATGTTTGGTTGGGTTGAAGTGCAACGTGTTCTTCCTGATCCTTCTCAATGTTTATCTTTTACATCTGCTGTGCATTTGTCTCAGACAGGAACTGGAATTTCACAGGAGCAGCTTATCAGCGTGCACACAACGCATGTAYGTCAGGACCTGCTTTGCTTTATTTTTCATTAAAACACACAGTTTCTTTACTAATTTTAACATGCCAGAATAGGTGACTTTGATTTATAATATATT